TAAAGTTTTACCACTTCCCGCCCATCGTTTATATTAAACTACCCCACTACACACTCAATTACGTTAACAAATACTCTACACTTATTATCTTCATTCCGTACAAACAAGCACGTCAGTTTTTCCCTTTTGTGCATATTGATTATTACGTATATGAAATTTAAATAATTCATTGAAGTACTTCCGGCGATGACCAGTGAAAAGTTCCCGCGAGAACTTCCAACAACTTTAGTTAGAAATAAAATAAAATAATATTGTGAATATACATCTAATATAGTCAAAATGTTTGAGCGACTGCGAATAGATTTCAATTAAAATAAATATTAATAAGAGCGGTAAAATTTCCACAAATTTCCAAAATGCACCGGAAGTCAATTGCAATTGAACATTTTTATTATTTTTAATCATTTTCACAATTAGAAACATTCCTATTGCATGTAATTGTCAAATAATTGGTGTTTTTAAAAAGGGTGAAATTTTTAGTGATAAGACAAACAGTGAGTAATAGCGATAAGTTTGTATCGTCAAATGTGACATTGAGCAAAGGAAAAACTGGTTAAAATAAACCACACGAACGTAAGACTTAATTTTGACTTCATTTTCATATTTCGCATAGAAGTGTGAATTATGAAAATGGGAATTCTTGTATAATGAGGTTAATTGCGATGTTAGTGACTTCTTACCGTATCCAACAATTCTATTATTTTTGAAAAGAAATACCACCAGGCGGCTGTAGTCAACTGTAATAATAAACAAATAGTTATTAATTATTGAATTTTTTTTTGTTAATTCATTGATTAATCAATTATTTGTAAGTCTTTACCATTGTCTGATGATTTTTATCACTTATTGCACTAGAAGAACATACTTTCGTGAATATCAAATTCAAGAAATCTGCTTTAACTGCCTGAAATAATAAAATTAATAAATTTACTTCTCAGTTACGAAGAGAAATACATAATTAAAATGAAATTTTACCAATGATGCAAGCCAAATGCTAAATAAAACTTGGATTCCGTTATACATAATGAGTACATTGGTTAGTTGGAATGGCGGTCTCGACTCCATCATTTTCGGTCCAATTTTTAGGACAAATAAGAGGTAGAAACCGAGAATGAGTAGAACAGGTCCGGGAGAGCTCATAAGTGGCCACTCATCCACCATTGGATCTATGGATAAAAAATGCGTTAGAATTTATTTTCCAATTCAAATTTTCCATTAAAGTCTTCGAGAAAGTAACCGATCTACATCGCGATTTCCACAAAAGTGTTTAAACCTTTATTTTTATGTGATAAAATTATCACCAGAATTAATGATTGAAATGAGATATTTTTTATTCTTGCACACACTAAAAAAAAATTTATTATTATCTTTTATAAAAACAATTTTTACGACCATTGACTTTATTTTTTCCTGATGTTAATGAATGTTCTCTATGCTAATTATATGGGGTCCTGCATTCATTAGAGCATTGAAATTTTCCAAAGGGAATGCAACAACAATTGTATGAATACTGATTGAGGTTTTGAATTCGCTAAATTTAATTATACCGCAAATTCTTTATGTGTGCTGTTTGTAAGTGCATGCAGTAGCATGAACAGATTTGAATATCTTAACATGATAGACCCGTGTAATATGTAAAATATAAACAAGTGAGATTCACTAATGGTGGTCAAAGGTTTGCGTTCAATGCCCGATGTCTTATTGTAAGTAATACATGTATATTGAGCGTGAAGTCGCTGGCAAGGGTTTTTCACAGCGATTACAGTTTACCTTTTGTGGACTCCAGAATTTCATTGTAATTGCTGACGACAAGTTTCATAAAACTCGCCATGACTCTGATGTAATAGGATCCTTACCAGAAAATATATTCTAGAACACAACAGAACGCATAAGAATAATCACCAAAAGACTTTCAATTTT